AAGTCTGCAGACATACCGCTGTGCCACTGGGGGCTTGAAGTTAAACACAAAGCTACACATTGGGCTATCTGTGCTCTGCCCACTACGGGTATCGAAACCCGGATTCTAGCGTTGTAAGTCTGCAGACATACCGCTGTGCCACTGGGGGCTTGAAGTTAAACACAAAGCTACACATTGGGCTATCTGTGCTCTGCCCACTACGGGTATCGAAACCCGGATTCTAGCGTTCTGAGTCCGTAGACATATGTAATTAACCGCATATTGAGTCCATTTAGTTTCTGCCTGTTACGTTACTCAAATAAAGAACTGACTCCACAAACTAGACTTAAACACTAATTTTGTATGAAATTTTACACGGGGAAGCTCTAGCAAGAATTACTAGCATTATTTTAAATATTATTGGTACCTGTGTTTAATTTGTATTTTATTAGGCATCCCGTGTCCAAATAATTAATGACCCTACCTTGTAGTTGAGAAAAACGTGCTTATAAAGCCGATGTGGTTCATACATCCCATTGGCAGTTCAAGGGTTAAGGTAATGTTAAGTAGTTATTATGAATGACGTAAAAATGGACTTACAGAAACAGTGGTAATATTTATCCTCTGTACTTACAGAAACAGTGGTAATATTTATCCTCTGTACTTACAGAAACAGTGGTAATATTTATCCTCTGTACTTACAGAGACAGTGGTAATATTTATCCTCTGTACTTACAGAAACAGTGGTAATATTTATCCTCTGTACTTACAGAGACAGTGATAATATTTATCCTCTGTACTTACAGAAACAGTGGTAATATTTATCCTCTGTACTTACAGAAACAGTGGTAATATTTATCCTCTGTACTTACAGAAACAGTGGTAATATTTATCCTCTGTACTTACAGAGACAGTGGTAATATTTATTCTCTGTACTTACAGAAACAGTGGTAATATTTATCCTCTGTACTTACAGAAACAGTGGTAATATTTATCTTCTGTACTTACAGAAACAGTGGTAATATTTATCTTCTGTACTTACAGAAACAGTGGTAATATTTATCCTCTGTACTGCTTCTTCTTTGTCCTTAATGTCAACTCCAAGCTGGAAATCTCCATATGGCAGGACCAGTGAGGCCTTCGATTCTGGGCCGTAGATTAGAAACAACAAGGCTCCTGTATCCAAATTCATTGCTACAAAATACGTGAGAAATTACGTATGAAGAGAACAGGAAAACGTTCAAAAAGAAATTGTATACGTAATACAATAACGTATTATGTTAATTGGGTAAATATATCTGGAGGATATAAATTACAATAAGATATACTTTACTGATTGCATAATAAAAAACTCAAACATTACAACAACCCATATTACAATAGCTTCACGTTCTGATAACCCATATTACAATTATCAGAACGTGAAGCTATTGTAATATGGGTTATCAGAACGTGAAGCTATTGTAATATGGGTTATCAGAACGTGAAGTTATTGTAATATGTGTCATCAGAACGTGAAGCTATTGTAATATGGGTTATCAGAACGTGAAGCTACTGTAATATGGGTTATCAGAACGTGAAGCTATTGTAATATGAGTTATCAGAACGTGAAGATACTGTAATACGGC